GTCACATAAATTCTACTAAAAATATTACAGTTAGCAAAGAGGCATTTGTGCTTGTGTTTAAAGAAGGACAAAAGAAATTCTCAGACAGTGAGTTTCTTGAATTGTAAGTTATGCCGTGACGGTGCGTTGGTGACGAAGGAAACATGGCAAGTTCTAAAATGTGTGTGCTCTGGCTCCAAGGCTGGGGAACGTTTCTAATAGATCTGATTATGTCTATCTCCTTTTATTTTAAACTTTTTAATGGCAATTAATAAGAAAAACCCACAAAACATTGCACTTTCAGAACTATTTTTGACTTTGCTTCCAAAGATAACCACAGTTGTGTAACTACAGAAGGGTCAAATTTTATTAATTCAAAATATTTTTGGTTTTAGCTTATATCCATTCTTACAAATTGTCCTTGCTCATCAAGAACAACTATTGAAACCCTTATTACAGCACCCAGAATTTGCCTATATAATTTGATCTAACCTAAACCAGCACTCCAGTTAGTCTTTCTAATGTGGTTTCTATTCATTGTGCTGTGACATCATGGCCCTTCCATCCTTTCTTTGTTGTTGTTTTTAATAAATTGGTGCATAAAATGACTCTTGGTGCCATGAAAAAGAAACCAATTCCCATAAGTAATGTTTAATTAGGGCAAATAAAGTGCCGTGAATAAACACATATGATGTAACATGGCAACATGTTACAAAAGAGCTGGGGAAAACGCACATGTCTGCTTCAAGGAAAAGTACGTGGGTTTCCTCAGAGCAGGGTTTCGTGATACAAATTAAAAGAAAATATATAATATATAGATTGGGGAGTTTAAAAAAATCTGTTATTCAAATTAGCAAATGTTTTGATTGAAACTCTTGACTTCTAGTGTATGGAATTTTTATTCTATGTGAACTTAGTTTAATTTTTAACCCATCTTTTCAACTAAACATCTCTACCCAGTATGCAAAAAGGGAAAGATTTCAAGGCTTACTCTTTTTAAAGTCTTCATAAAGTTTTAAAATTGTCTGTTAAGTATGTCAGAGATCCTCAAAAATCTGAATAAATAAAAGAAAAACAGTTTTGAAAGTTTTGAAAACAAGTTGTGATAATAAAATTAGATATCTAAGTCTTTCACTGTTTGTTTTGAACTATGTGTTTAAATATATATGAGTTATTCATAAAAGTACAACATTTTCCATGGGTTTTTTAAATATAAGGGTCAGTACCTTGTGGAATCTGTTGAAAGTGTTAATATTTGTATGCTTTGGTGATAAATTTTTCTGGAAAGTACAAGAATTCACTACCACAAGTTAGTAATAACAGCAAAATCCTTCTCCCATGTTAAAAATACAATTCTATGGCATTTTTCTCAGGTGACCAGTGTGTGTTGTAACTAAGGTTGAGAAAAATGGTGCATCCTTCTCATAAAATGCTAACTATCTGCTGTGGTAGCCCTCTAGCTTTTTAGAGTCATAGAATCATGGGACGGTTGGGTTGGAAGGGACCTTTAAAGGACATCTCATCCAACGTCCCTGCAATGAGCAGGGACATTGCAGGGACATCTTCAACCAGATCAGGTTGCTCAGAGCCCCATCCAACGTGGCCTTGAACCCTTCCAGGGAGAGGGCATCTACCGTTCTCTGGGCAACCTGTGCCAGTGTGTCACCACCCTCATTGTAAAGAATTTCTTCCTTATATCGAGTCTTTTAAGCCTATGTCTGCTCCAACTCTGCTCTTCCATAACCAGCCTCTCTGACGGATGTATCTTCTGAAATTTAGACAAGGATTGAAAAACTGATCTTTCTGGGAGTAGATACTAGCTCCAAATAAAACACTGGAACACTTGTTTTTTCTCCAGGTTATAGGCTTCTGGATGGTGATGTAGAAGTCCTGCAAGCTCTTGATGTTTATAAATGACCGAGATCTGGGCAGGTACTGGATGGAGAGATGACTCTGTCTGGAAGATGACAGAAAAGAAGAATGAATGTGAGTCTGGAAGAGAAAAAATAGAATAGCTGGAGCAAAAATGTTCTGGAAAAATGTAAACACAAAAAATGTGCTAACTAGACATTGTCTTTCTCCAGCATGCTTTTGGGAACTGCACATGAACAGGTCTAGAAGATTTCGTGTTGTTATTAGTTTATTTTCAGGTCATTTATTTAAGTGTCATAAAGAACATTAGCTAGTGGTTAGGGACTACAATATCCATTATATCATTCCAATCATGTGGACAAGTTTATACTACATATGATTTACAACGGCCTTTCCGCAGTTAAAATTGTTACGTTCAGGTACAAGGTTTTATACATGGTTGTATTTAGCAGAATACAAGTGGCTGAGCACAGAGACGTCTTCCAATCAAAGCCCAAAAAATTAATGCTTTTACACGAACACTGCGGGTTGCAGCACGAGCTGTTTATGGCTGCCTGCCTACATCCTTTATCATGTCTCCACTGTAGTTAGTAAAATATACAGAACTACTTTATGCCAAAACAATGGAAGTTAATGCAGATAACTCGTTCCAAAGTTAACCATCAAATAAATATTTTTTTTAAAAAAAGAACAAAAAACCTGCTAAGTGAAATGGTGTTCTAAAACTTTTAAAAATTGTCAGGATGATGAATACTCTGTGTGTACTACAAGTAAATACCACAGAATTGATTGCACACACATGTCTTAAATAAAGGATATTAAATAGTTTATTCCAGAGAGAGATCAGTGAAGTTTTATCTAATATTATTAAAAATTCTGCAGTGACGGATTAGATTTATAAGGGCTGAAAACTAAGAAGCAAAACCTCTTCAGAAATAGAAATGGTGCACTGAGTGGATGATTGGCTGGGAGATTAAAGACAGACAGGGGGATAGAGCCTGCCTAGGTAGTCTGACCTCTCACATGTCAAGCAATTCTTCTTAACAGCAATGATTTTTCAAAATCTGTTAGTTACATTTGGTTTGGTAGATCAGTCCTCTCAGTTCAGTCGCAGACTTGGTGGTTTAGGGCAAATCCCTTAACCTGTTTCTCCTTCAGCTTTTCCCATGTGTGAATATATAAAAGTAGATTCTCACAGGGATGTGCCCATACTTCAGAGGAGCCCCTTTTAGGTCTATAATTCAGCTTAGACTGTCAAAACGCCAACCTAACTGTTAAGAGCATATGGAATTCAGCCACACTGAATTTATACTTTTACACTCTGAGAATCTGAGGGTGGCTAAGTCACTGAGATGGGAATGGTTTAACTCAGGCTCATTTGGGAACCTGTCTTGTTTGTAACATAGGGAATGGATTTGCATGAGGCTGTCGAACGCGATTGAACTTTTTGTGGTCGCATCTACAGAGCAGCTCCAGTGAGTCATGGCAAACAGTGGAAAAAAGGTAGATCTTCTAGGTGATTTGGTCAGTGACTTGAAAATGCAGCTTAGTGTAGATAAAAATAAAAATAATATGTCAAGGGACAGCAAGCCCAATCAAAGAATGCATATTACATGGCATAGTTACACAGCATACTGACTTAGGAAAGGAGATTTAGAGGTTTGAAGAAAAATCCTCAAAAGCAATTAGTACAACTCCAGTAAAGCTCTCCTAATGTGTGCGTGGTTGTATTTTGGGAGTGATTTTGAAGAGAAAGGATCTGTTTGCATTTCAAGGTGCTCCATTGCAGGATGAAGTGGATGATTCTGGTATTTAGTACTATTTGTTTTGACAAAGAGGGAAGGGAGCGGTTCGTTCACAGCTCAGAAATGAGCTGTGATGGAGTAAAACTCTGAGGAACTGTGGAGGAGGTTGATAAAGTGGAGCAAGTGTTGGCTTTAGTAAACAGTTCAATAAACAGGCTATAGTGCGTAAACATTTGGAAATTAAAAGGAAACGGAAAATTTAAATGTCTCTACTTATCTGGAAGAACCATAATCACACTGAAAGGCATGTAAGTAAATAATATTTGAGTAAATTAACTTGAGGTACAGGCTAGGGTGAGGATCCTATGGTGGCTGTGCATGTAGTCCTCTCCGTGTTAATTTAGAGTCATGTTTGAATGAAGGAGCTTCACTCGAGTGTTTCCTGGGCAAGGACAAGAATTCATTGCTAATTTAAATCAAATAGTAAAACTAGATCTGTGTAAAACGTTGCGTTTCATATATTACAAAAATTAGTTCAGTGGCCCCAGTGTAAGTGTGCAGATGAGTCCTGCTGTTGGGAAGGATTTTCTGCAGCATGGGCATCAGATGGAAGAGCCAGTGGCAGCTGGTATTGTCTGTGGTACCTCAGGAAGGTGATGAGCAGCTCTGCCTCAGTTTCCCTGTCTTAGTGTTCATTACTCACACCTGTGAAAAACCATGGGAGCGGTTGCCTTTATCCAACGAATGGATGTACAGCTCAATCCTTTTCTGCTAGGCGTGTTTTTTTGGGTTTTTTTTCTAATTTGTGATTAATTTTTTCAGTTGGTCATTCTAGAAATCAGGCAAGGGTAGTTGGGTAAGAAGACCCAGTTCTATGTCATGGTGCATGTTTGGCCAATGTTATTAGGCAACAAGCAGCCTCTTTGTGTTAGGTTTCATTGACCTGTGATGAAGCAACTTGCTGGGCTCAAGTCTAGACATAGTCTAGACTCACGTTAGGTTGACCACCGCTGCATTTGGCATTTGCTACCAGTCCTAGCTGTAGTCCTGGCAAAAATGCCAAGACTTTTCTGGCAGAGTTGCCGTTTTGCTTCCCAGAAGTTTAGCTGGCAAATAGTTTTGTTCTCCCCGTTGATATACGTGTCGTTAGCAGCAGTGTGGTTCTGTGGAGACCTTTGGCTTCTCAGCCAGTGAACCTGTTGTTTTATTTCACAGGTACCATATTCACTAAAATATATATAAAGTGAATCATTTTAATGAATGCTGGTGGAGGTGTTGCTTGAAGGGATGTAAAATATCAACCATGCTTTGTCCTCTCTTTTGCTATTAATTAATTAGCAGTTACAAGGTGAAACTGAAATCCAGCATAAACACAATATAGATTTTTTTTTTTTTCCCTAACAGGTTCATGCCAGAACATAAGCTTGCCCATTTGGAAAAGGTAATTGGTGCTAAAAGAAATGAAGATGGTTATCAATCGGAGGATCTGTCCGGCCAGCAGAAGAGCCGAGCTTTAATGAAAAACAGCAAGGCACAGTGTGAGTCTGGACTTTGTGAAGCCCAACCTGGACTTTATACCACACAGCATGAGGGGCTGCCTTCCCCATTAACAGCACCGGCGAGATCGAACCAGTCTGAAGCATCAGAAAGTACAAATCCTTGTCAAGAAGATGATAAGCAACATCTGACTTTTAACCTCTCTAATATCTTGAGTGGACAGGACTATCAGCAAAGACCTTTACATGTTGCCTGGCCTCACAGGTG